CAATCTTGGACTTCCAGCCTTCAGAACTGTTAAAAAATAAGTTTCTGTTGTTTAAGCCACCTAGTCTGGTATTTTGTTGTTATGGCAGCCCTAGCAAACGAATATAGTCAGATTTGTTTTACATGAAGCTGCAAGCAGTCCCACTGATACAGAAACCAAAACAAATAAAAGTATGACAGACCAAAATCATATAAATGATTCAAATTATCACACTGTTTCTTTCTTTATGAATGCTGTCTCCATAGCACTCTGACACTGTGCTGTTTACATGTTTAACTTCCAGTGCTCCAGGCTTACACACACCCCCCGCTGCCGCCCCACACACAGCTTCCTTAGACTGAGGCTGCCTCTTTCTGTTTCTTTATTCACCTAGCACAATATCTAGCACATATTCTGTTAAATAAATTATCTAAAGAAATGAACTTGATAATCTGTAGGAAAACAGAACTGTCAAGTTAAAATAGTGATAAAAAAATATCTGTTCTTTTTATCATTTCAAAATAGTAATTTTGGTATGGGAACATGTATTCCTAAATTCAAAAGGTGATTTTTGTCTTGACTTGGCTGAGTTTACAGGGTCTTTGCTTTCCCTGATCTTTCATAAGTCAGTTTGTTTATAGGAAGGGCTTAGATAAATCATACGTTTCCTTTAGTCTGTCTGTCTGTCTGTCTGTCTGTCTGTCTGTCTATCCACCTAGCCATGTATTTTTCCTGTGTGAATTTCATCCTTTTTAAGACGTTTTAGGGTTGAAATACTTCATGCTAAATCTTCCATAGGTAGGAACTTCGATTACTATCTAATTTATAATTTGATAAGTAATGTGTACTAATTGAATTTCTCTGCTATCAATCTCAGTCCTGCAGTAAGTTTTTTTAAACAAAACAGAAGTGCTTTGCTTCTTTCTTAACTTTTAACTTCTAACTTAAATTTTAAGTAATCTAGGAAATATTTTAATTGCTCATGAGGCCCCTGATGCCTTTCTTTTCTAATATTCTTCTGTGGAGGATAAACTGTGTGAGCGTTCATTTCGTGCCGTGAGTTACTCTGCTGGATTTGGTGCTTTTAAAACAGGATATAGTTCTGTTTTCTTAAATCATGCTTAAATTTGGTAACTTAGATATATTTTGTTTAAAATACTCTGCCCAGACCTCACATAACTGTAGCATAGAATGGGTTCAAGGTAATATTATGTATTCACTCCTTCATTTATGTGCATGAAATTTCAGTGACCACATGAATTCACTTGAATTTACTTGAATAACCTAAGTTTGAGCCCTTTGGCATTTTCAAGTGATCATAAATTATTCTCAATTTAAAAATCAGATTTGTGGAGTAGCTAACACAGAATAGGCTCTTAAGTGTCTCCTAAAATGAGTGTGTAAGATGGGGACCTTGACCACAGACTGTTTTTCTACCTCTCTTTCTTATTTCATGGTTTTGTATGTGTGTCCTATTTTGGATTTGTGTGCATTCTGCTCTTGCTAAAATTGGTAGCTAAGCAATGAATTTTTTAACATTAATTATCAAGTTTTGTCTTACTCTTAAATTCCGTGTGGTTTGTAAGGCGGCCCTGTGGGCATCTGCTTACCTCGCTGACACCCACTTTCCTGGGTTGCAAACGCATTAACCTTGACTATAACCTTGACTATGGCGAGTTTAGGAGGGTTGCCCAGACTCTGAAAACGCGAAGCCCAGTGTGACTGTAAATGCCTGTTTCTGTGACATCCTCAATTATGTAATAAAAAATAATCCAGAAAATTGTCATGGTACTTGACCATTTAATATAGGAATTGGCCTTGTACAGTACAGACTTACCATGAGAAAACAAGAAAGAGTTCCTTTTTTCAAGAATCTTCCACCAAACTGAAGGCTGGGCCTACAGTCTTGAGGCTGTGACTCTCTGGTTATTATAACCACAATATCTGCAGGAATGTCTCTTTCTTCTTTGAATAAAATGATATGTTTAAATTATTTTTGGAGGAATCTGATAAATTGTGCCCATTTCATGACTCATCTTATAGTGTGAGATGTGATGTGAATTAAATTATCATCGAGATTTCTGCCCTGTTTGCTTTACTCACTTAGCCATAAGACTTACAGAGTCAAGCAAAGCTAGCGTGGCAGAAGAAAAAGTGATCATCCGAAGCTCATTTTGTCTAGATTGAAAAGAATGTATTTTATAGTTGAGGATCCCACACAAAAAATACCTTCCTAGACTTGCTCTCATGTGTAGATTGCATTAGCATATTGGGAAGGAAACCAACATTTTTCAAGTACTTGGTAAAGATCAGCATTCCACCAGGCACTCCTGGTGGGGTGTAACTCATCTGGGAGATGCTCCTGGTGGGGCGTAACTCATCTGGGAGATGCCCCTGGTGGGGCGTAACTCATCTGGGAGATGCCCCTGGTGGGACGTAACTCATCTGGGAGATGCCCCTGGTGGGGCGTAACTCATCTGGGAGATGCCCCTGGTGGGGCGTAACTCATCTGGGAGATGCCCCTGGTGGGGCGTAACTCATCTGGGAGATGCCCCTGGTGGGGCGTAACTCATCTGGGAGATGCCCCTGGTGGGGCGTAACTCATCTGGGAGATGCCCCTGGTGGGGCGTAACTCATCTGGGAGATGCCCCTGGTGGGGCGTAACTCATCTGGGAGATGCCCCTGGTGGGGCGTAACTCATCTGGGAGATGCCCCTGGTGGGGCGTAACTCATCTGGGAGATGCCCCTGGTGGGGCGTAACTCATCTGGGAGATGCCCCTGGTGGGACGTAACTCATCTGGGAGATGCCCCTGGTGGGGCGTAACTCATCTGGGAGATGCCCCTGGTGGGGCGTAACTCATCTGGGAGATGCCCCTGGTGGGGCGTAACTCATCTGGGAGATGCCCCTTGTGGGACGTAACTCATCTGGGAGATGCCCCTGGTGGGGCGTAACTCATCTGGGAGATGCTCCTGGTGGGGCGTAACTCATCTGGGAGATGCTCCTGGTGGGGTGTAACTCATCTGGGAGATAGTGTAACAGAATGGTTGTGAGTGTGTGTTGTGGGGTCCTGGCTTTGTCACTGACTAGCTGGGCAAGTTGCAGACCTCCTCTTCCTCACTGTCGTTTTCTCTTCAATCCTGTGACAGAGGTGCTGCAGATGAGGAAGCTGATGCCAATTTTAGATTGTTCAGAGCTGCACAACTAACAAGTTGTAGTGCTTGAATCTGGAGCTAGACCCTGCCCAGGCTCCCACCCCCTCTCTCCTCTTCTATGAGGCACCCCCCCCCCTGAAGCTATATCTGGGTGGCTGATGAGTTAATGTCTTTGAACAAGTAGGCTGGTTGCTTTTGTGTTGAATGAGCTCAGATTCAGGCACTAGTTATGTGAAAAAGGCTCAGAAAAAGGAACTGGGATCAATGACTTGTCATTTTCTAAGCTGATTAGGTGACCTTGAACAAACCATTGGTCTTCAGTTCCCATGTCTCTTGTGCCATTCTTTCAAATTTGCCCTGTTATCATCATGAACTGTAAGTCTTTGTCTCTAGTAATGCCCTCTAGATGAAAGTGAAAGAGGAGAGTGCTTTTGAACTGTGGTGTTGGAGAAGACTCTTGAGAGTCCCTTGGATAGCAAGGAGATCCAAGCAGTCCATCCTAAAGGAAATCAGTCCTGAATATTCATTGGAAGAACTGACTCATTTGAAAAGACCCTGATGCTGGGAAAGATTGAAGGCAGGAGGAGAAGGGGATGACAGAGGATGAGATGGCTGGATGGCATCACTGACTCAATGGACATGAGTTTGAGTAAACTCTGGGAGTTGGCAATGGACAGGGAGGCCTGGCATGCTGCAGTCCATGGGGTCGCAAAGAGTCGGACACGACTGAGCAACTGAACTGAACTGAACTGAACTGAATACCCCCTTGAGTTGAAGTCTGTTTGTCTTATATTAATATAAGGACTACAGCTGTTTTATGTTTACTGTTTGTGTGTATGGTATAACCTATTTGTGTGTTTCTTTCTTTTTTTTTTCCTAAAGACTTTTTGGGGACTATCTTTAAAAGTCTTTATTGAATCTGTTATAATACCTTTTCTGTTTTATGTTTCGGTGTTTTGGTCCCCAGGCATGTGGGATCTTAGCTTTCCCTTTGTTTCTGTTAACATTTGAAGTATGTTTCTTTCCATAGAGCAGGTAGTTGATGTACAGTTGATTTTAGCTTTATTATTATTTTATCCATTCTGACAGTCTTTGACATTTGAATGGAATGTTTAGTCCATCTGCGTTTAAAGCCTTTGTTAACATGGTTATATTCTTGAGTTAAAGTCTTAAGGGGTATATTTACGTTTTGAAATTCTTTATAGTCTTTTCTTTCTGATTTAACTTTACAAAAAATAATGTATAGTAGGTGGGATACTTATTAGTAAAACTGGTTTGTTAAAAATTTCCTGCTTATGGTAAGACGCAAGGGAAAAGTAGCTTTATTCTTCTTTTGGAGATTTTGGAAAAACTAATTTTGAAATGTTAGAAAATGTAGTACAGTGTAAATAAAACTTCCATTTTCTGATCACCAGCCCAGGTTGGGTGCATGAGACAAGTGCTCGGGCCTGGTGCACTGGGAAGACCCAGAGGGATCGGGTGGAGAGGGAGGTGGGAGAGGGGACCGGGATGGGGAATACATGTAACTCCATGGCTGATTCATGTCAATGTATGACAAAAACCACTGCAATGATGTAAAGTAATTAGCCTCCAACTAATAAAAATAAATGGAAAAAAAAAACAACTTCCATTTTCTGGTCCAGTTTATAGTTTCTCCCATTTCCCTCCCTCTGGCCTGCCCCCTCGCTTAGTGGTGGTCATCAGCAAGGAGGGAAGGTCCTTTCTCCTCTCTGCAGTTTCTTCTTCCCACTGTCTGGCTCCTTCAGAGCTGGTGAGGGCAGAGAAAGGGAGAAGGCTGTTGCAGTGAACCAGACTGTTGTTTCCACGGCCAGGTTCTTGGGTGATTTTCTGCAGGGCCCACCGACGCCATGCTGCTTTGGGTGTGGACGGGGCAGCAGCTGGGTGACCACGTGTGCCCTGGCTCCTGTCCCCCACTGGTGTCGCTGGAGTTTCCCTGGGTGCTTGCCCAGGCAGCCCGCTTGGGTCGAGCCCTCTCAGGCTCACTCAACTGTGTTACTCTCTGTGATTCCCGTGATCCACGGGAAGGCTCTCAGGCTGGCACCGTCAGACTCCGCTCCTCTTTGGCTGAGGCGCCAAGGCCTTGCTCTGCCATTGCAGCTGCACCTGCTGGGTTCGAGGGCTCCATCCTCGCGTGCGCCGCTGAACTGGCTGTGAACTTGTGCACCGAGCCAGGCTGCCAGCCAGGGAACAGCGCCTTAGCCTTCCTCACTGCAGAGAGTCCCAAGCTGTGAAGGTGGTTTTGGGCATTTGATCTGAGCTGGCAGAGAGGGAAGAAAAGGGACCCATCTTCTGCTCCTGAGAATCCTCTTTGAAGAAATGTCTCCTGCAATGCAAGTTCTCACACATAAACTCGGGGTGGGTGGGGCCGGCGGGTGACTTCTGGAAAGGTTGGTTCATGTAGCAATTCCTGTCATCATGGAAACTCATCACCTGTTGCCTTTAGCATTGAGACTTTAGCTGAGAATTTTAAACAATAGACTTTCCGTGCCTTTTCTGTTGAAAAGAATTTAGAAATCATTGGCTTATCTGGCAAGATGCACAAAGAAGTGTTCAGCTATGTTTAGAACTTGTGAACTACCACAGTCTATAATCTTCTCCCTTCACAGTAGTGAGAAACACTGGGTACAAAATAAATACTTAATAAGTCAACTCATGATTTCAGGGTATTGGTCTTTGGGGAAGGTGAGAGTGACCAGTATAAGAGGAATGAGGTTTCTAAGCTGTGATAATCTTTACTGATTTAACAATTAGGCCCTTAAGTGGAAGAAAAAAAATTCAAAACTATTGTTAGCTCAGTCAAACTAATTGTTCAGGTTGACTAAGATAACTGAAACCTGAAACTGGGTTGACAGGCTTCTTTGGAAATCTCTAAACCATGTAGGTCATATTTATTTATTTATTTATTTATCCATATATAAAAAATAATGTATGTGTATATATGTGTATATACACACACACACACTGTATATGTATATGATTTAGATATATAACATATATATATATATTTATGGTCCTGATAAAGCTGTCAGAGAAATTGTTGACAAGTGATGGGGTCTCCTCAAATGTGTTTTAAGAGTTTGCGAAGAGGGGTGTCCCTGGTGGTCCAGCAGTTAAGACTCTGCCCTCCCAATGCAGGGGTCCTGGGTTTGATCCTTAGTCGGGGAACTAGATCCCGGATGCCACAATGAAGATCCCATGGGGAGCAACTAAGATTCAGTGCAGCAAAATAAAATAAATAAATAAATATTGAGAAAAAATTTGGCAAAGAATAAATAGCACAGATGAAGAGAAATGGTTGGAACAAGAAACAGATAATTTTCTGAATTTTTGAAACATGCAGATGAATGTAAAAATGTATCAGTTCATTGGTTAGCTTATTTTGAAGTAGAAAATAATCTTAAAACATTTAATATGACTTTGTTTTAGAATCTATAGGTGATGGTATGATAAGAATTTATTTTAAAAGTATAAATTTAGTTATCAGTGTATTTTTCAAATATATAACATGCATGATTTATTTCACAGTAGTGATTAATGCGACTAAAAAGATTATATTGCAGTAGTATCTAAAATTGAAAAAATAACTTTGGAGCTTGTAAATATAAAACACGGCCATACTAAAAATATTGGGGAATAAATGAAAAACATAAAAAGACGTCAACACCCTAATGTTCATTGCAGCACTATTTACAATAGGCAGGTCATGGAAGCAACCTAAATATTCGGACATGACTTAGCAACTAAAACACCACCATAGTACAGAGATGTGGATGGACCTAAATACTATCATACAGACTGAAGTAAGTCAGAGAAAAAGAAATATCATATATGTGGAATCTAGAAAAATGATACAGATGAACCTGTTTGCAAGACAGAAATAGAGACACAGACATAGAGAATAAACATAGGACAGTGGGGGGGAAGGGAGTAGGATGAATTGGGAGACTGGGGTTGACATGTATACTCCGGTAGGTATAAAGTAGGTAACTGATGGGCACCTGCTGTGTAGCAGAGGGCGCTCTGAAAAGGCAAGAGGCATCAAAAGCGCTTGCTGTTAATCTAAGCATTAACAGATAGACATTGTGGGCCAGAATGAGAAACACCAGATTGCGTCTTGTTTATTGATATAATTTTTCTCATGAGTTATAAAAATTGGCCTTTTCATGGCAGAACTTCCTTTGATCTATGTTTAATCGGCTTACTTATTTTTCTGTTAAAGACTAAAGAATTCCCTTTCATGGCTAAGAAGCTGTACCAAGACTGTGTCCAATATCATCAGAAAGCTGCTAAATATAACTTCTCAAGCTTTATTTGTAGAGTTTTGTGTAAATTTTTGAGCCTTAGTCAGTTGTTATGAATTACTTTAAGATGCAAAAAATGAAATGAGGAAAGTTAGCTGGTCCCTAAGAAATGAGATATTTTAACACTTAAGCTTGTTTTTAGTTCAAGCTCTGTAACTTCTTATGGCAGTCAATTTAATGTGAATCTCGATGTTTTTTTCTTAAATGGGGCAGTGTCTGTCTGCTGATGGGGTCAAATGCAAGGGGGAATATGAATGCTTTTGGCCTATTTCTTTGGGTGTGCTTAAGTGCGGTAAGCATTTGTGAAGGAGTCCTAATTTGCTAGAAAGCTTGGAGTTCTAGGCAAGACGTAACAGAAGTTGTATATAGAAATCTACCTTAAGTATTAACAGGTACTGTCCTTGTAAAAGTATCTTTACCCCGTTTCTTTTATTATAAAGTCCAACTTTGAAAATGATTAGCTTTTGGTGAAGATTGAGCACTTTGAAAAATAACTTTGTAGATGAAAAACTATGTGTGCAAAAGTGGTATGTAATTGAGGATGCACTTTTTCTGTATCATGGGAAAGTATTGATATAATTAGCTTTGGAAAAAAAGCGTGTTTACCTTCTTAAACATAATTCACCCCTTATTTAGAAAAAGGCCCCATGTTCTTATATTATACTAAATCATGATTTTTTTCCTAAAGATCTGTGTATGGAACACTTGGGAATAATAGACAACTAATAGAAAGGGGAAACTATCCAAAAGTAAGTTTGGTTTCTAACACAATTTTCAGGTTTTTCAAAAATGGGTATTATATTGCTGTCCTGATGAAAATAGTGACTTGCAAAATATTGTATTATTTAAAAATTGCTAGAAAGGTTAACCCGAAATGACAGAGCAAAGAAGCTTGTCATTATGCTAATAAATTGCAGTTAATTTTTCCATCTATGCACCTAATCACAGACTCTGCACATATTGTATCAAAATAATTACCAAATGTTTCGGGGGTGGTGAGTCTCTTTCTTCTCCATGAGAATTTATAAAGTTGTTAAATTAGGTTTCTTTGGAGTCATAACAGTTTATTTCATTAAGATGTTTACTGGATAAATATTTCCACTAAATTTTCATCAGCTTTGAAGAGGTATTATTTATTCAATGAAAAGTGTTATGAGTGTATTGCTAAATGCATCTTTTTTTTTTTTACTTTTTTTCTTTTCTATAGTGGATGTTCCCCGCTTTGTTTCAAATGAGTTTGTTTTAAACTGCTTCAGTAGATCTGCCTTCTTGTGTGCATAGAAGCCCTTGGTTTTATTGTAAGGCCACCTGCCAATGCCTCCAAGGTTTTGGCACCGCACATTCTTGGCACATAGATGCAAGCTGTGTGTACTGTACATGGGTGGAGGGGAGAGGGGAAGTATTGGCTTTTAAGACAAACTGAAGCTCTCGGTTCATAGGTTTACGTTTCATCATTTCTAGGTCATGTAAGTACATAGTGGCTTAAAGCAAACAAACGAACATGCTGTAGGTTTGCAGATCCTTTGTCATTCCTACAGCTGTCAGGCGAGCTAGAGGTCACTGCCTATGTCTTGGCAAACCATATGTGATTTGTGACATGGGCAGACAGCAATTGTGCTTGAGGTTACTGTGGACCCTCACCCTACGTGCATTTTGAAGTCAGCAGCTGAAGGTTCTCGTGAGTGTTACATCAGCTAATGTGTAAAATTCATAAACAATATTTTAGTAAAGACCAGTGTGACAAAGCAGCATGGTAAAGCAGATAAAGGAGAGCTGACGTTCCTGGGTTTGAGAAGCGTGTCTGCCTTTTAGTGGGTCTGTGACCCTCGGGGCGCTGCCTCAGAACTCGTCCTGCTCTGAAAGGGGAGACCTAGTGACTAACGGGGCAGGTGGGTTGTGAAGATGAATGAAATACTAGTAGTGTGAAGTGCCTAACACATCACCTGGCTTAAAACAGCTGCTTAAGTGTAGTTTTCTTTCTTTCTGTAGATATTTGAATATGTCATGTTGAGTCACTTGAACAGTTCATACAACTCATTATATGTCTAGGAAGATCATAATCTTAGATTTTATTTTATTTTTTGAGGATTGCATGCTTTTCATAAGGTCTCTTGGAAAAGGAATCTGCACATTGCTTTGTTCATTCCTTTTGTCAACAGCTGTCAATACTTGTGACATGCCAGCTCTCTTGACTTCTAGGGGTTTATGTTACATCAAGAGACGTCAACAGTTAAGAGAGAAATGACTATATAATTTTAAGTTCCACAGGAGGGGCATCACTGAGGCTCTGTAGAAGCATGGAGTAAGGGCTTCTGAACCAGGACAAGCCCTCAAGCCCTCTGGAGGTGCCCTCCTGTTCTTATTTTCTGTTTTTCAGAGGTGTTACATTTCTGGTGTTTCATTTAACCACATCTCTTAAGTATTCCTTTTCGTTCTTTGCTGAGACATACAGGTTTTGAAGGCCGTGTTAAGTTAGAAGATCCTCCATTTCTTGATCATTGGAATAGTGTTGCTCTCTTTTCCTGATGGCTCCCTGCTCTTAAGCTTGTTGGCTTTTTAGTGTGAGGGATTCTCTTGACAAGTGGAAACTGTGGAGGAGGTCTGCGATGATTATGTAACCCTGTTATTGGACAGTTATATGGAGCATCACAGTCACTGGAAATAGAAGCAGCTTCTGAGAACACAAGGGAAAGATAAATTCTACCTGGTGTTTGTTAGACTACTTCTGCCTGTGAATCATAGAAGAAAGCAGCTTAAACTCACAGAAGTCATGCTTAACATGAAGTGCCAGTTTAGGAATCCAAACATTTTGGGAGGGGCAGCATCTTACAGTGCCATTGAGAACCAGGCTCTTTCTTTGTCTCTTTATTGTCTGGGTTTGTCTCTGCGTCTTCTGGAAGCTAGTCCCAGAAAAGAGGAAGGGGATGTAT